CTCACGTGTAATGTCTTTCCGCCAGAAATTTTCTTCGGTTCCCCTTTCTTTGGAAGCAGCTGAGCAACCTCTGGCGGTCGAGAACGGGATTGCGCAAGCTTCTTATCAATGTTCTTCTCTCGCTTGAATTTACGCGCCGCTTCTTGTAAGATTGCATTTGTTTGGAACTAAAAATGAAGAATTTAGTACAATAGCAGATAAAATAGACACTGACATTAAATGCATCAGGAATGCTGCTCCTCCTGTTCTTTATTGCCTTTTTTCGAATTGGAGCAGGCTGTTCAATCTCCTCGTTGGATAACGAATCATCGGGAGCAAATCGAAAACGAGGAAGTTCCGCATCAATAGCATGTGGAGTTAACGCAGACAATCCTGAGCGAGGTTATGTTAGATGCAAGAAAGTGCTGATTTTTCCGCTAATTTTTGGATATTCAGTTATTCATTCACAACCGTTTCAAACCATCCACACTGAAACACTGGGGAATATAATACTAAATGACGCTTAGGTTCTGAAAAGCATGCCCGCTCTACCGCTTGCTTGCAACAATTCTGCTTTTGGAGAGTAATGAAGGGACTCAGTATAGGGATATGTTTTCAATAATATCTTCCCTCTAGAAGTTAACTTAAAGTCTTTTCCAAAATTTTTGATGTGGTGTAGATGTGGCCTGAAGGAAAGTGAAGGTTTTATGACTTGGGTTAGACTAGATTAGATACCTGTTGCTCCCGGATGCGGATATTTGGTAATATCTGGGAATGAATCTTTTTGCGTTTGTGGATTGCGTATCCGTCGCAAGCAGTTCTCCAACCACGTTCGAATTGTTTGTTTTGCAACTTCTTCCTCTATGATGAACTCTAGTTCCTCTCGCTGAAATTAGTCATGAATGAGCAGATATGCTCCAAAAGTATGGTACATATTCTCCTTTAGTCCTTATCGTGAAAATTCCTCAAAACTAGTGAAGGCTTCCTATTGGTTTCTAAAGGGTTTGCAAGTCAGAGTTGTGTTTATTATCTATTTCAATTACTTATTCTTTTATTTCTTCTATTTCCTTCCAAGAAGAGAAAAAGACAAAAGCTTGCACTTTTTAGAAACACTTATAAATTACTGTCGTCCTCAGAGGTAAGTTTCGCCTGTGCATCATTCAGCTGATTTTTCTCCCATTTTATCAGTACCTTCCAAGGTGCGTTAAAAAATATTGTTTGTATGACTTGAAACATTTTCTAACTTTTCATCTTTCATTTCACTGCTTTGATTGTCTGTGGCGCTTTTTTCGTGTGATAAATGAGAGAACAAAGTTCTAGATATTTGCATTTTTAACACTAATTAAATGCATACAGTTAGTATGTGCCGCTGGGCAGATGCAACTGAAACCAAGACGAAATCGGAATAAATTTTTCAACATTGTTCACCGTACCTGTAGTAGCTCTTCTAGCTGCAGTGATTTTCGTATGTCTACCGAACGATACGAAAGCATGCTGAATTATAGAAAAATTTGCGAGTAGTTATTTCAAATTAAAGACATAGAGAATTAGTGCTTACTATAGAACGTCGTGGAAGGAAACGTCATCACCGTTGTGCAATTTATCCATTTCATAACACATGTGCTTGAAAAGAATACGGTCTTTTTCAGGATCCACTTCGAGACGTCCCTATAATTCGTTGTGAAATAAACAAAACAATGTGTGTTAATAGTGAAATACCTTTAGCAGACGCAATAAAAATTTCACTCTTCCAACCGGAATTGATCGTTTCTGCTCGCGGTCTACCATATTCCAGACGACCTAACATCATAAAATTAGGTTTTAAAAGATTCAGAAAATGTGAATTGACGTAAAAGAAGGGGAATAACAAGTAGGGTCCGTAGCGAGATGACGTATAATAATTATTCTTGAGGGAATGTGTTGTCTGCATAGCAATAAGGCTTCGATAGCAGCAAGGTCCAACTCAAAAAGAAGCTTGCTTTCAAGGAACACAATAAAATACTCCAATTCTATTCGTATGATTTGATCTTTTTTTTGCCAATTTGTGCATATTGGAAAAAGTCAAAAAACCTCGCAAGTCTTGTCAGCTTGTTGTCACACATATGGGGAACCCTGCCTACACCCAGCTTACAATCACTTGTTAGTGAAATTTCGAAACTAAGCTGATACCTGGAAATTCCTAATATCAGCATAGCTCAACAAAGCGTCTTCCTCGCTTGAGTAGAACAATGAGAAATTCTCCATGATGATAGCTGAAGAATCATGTTCCGAATATATTGATTAGTTTATGAAAATCGGTAGTTTGTAAAACTCACCTACTAACAAGTTGCGCACTATATATGTGATAATTAGATAGAAAGAACAAAAGTAGATGATAGCACCGTAGTAATTTCCGCAATCAGTGTTCCAATAGTTCATGCCTTCTTGCCAATAGCAGAATGG